TTATTTGTTGATGCCAAAGAGCAGTAACTCTGGTATTGTTACATACTTTCTGTACTTTTAAATGATCTACTAAGAAATTATTGATGTTATCATGATAGCTTGGACAGTCGGTCTGGAATCTGTTGTTCGTACGCCTGGCATAGCTGCATCCCAGCGCCGGTGCCACTGGAATGTACTCGTATGCTGAGCTTGGCTGTACCAGGCTCTTTGGTTCTAGACATATATTTCGAGTTCATTACCCACTGTTTGTACTTCGTATTTATGCCCTTTGCTGGGAAATGCTCCTCAAAACTTTAAACAAAATGTATTACTGAATGCGAAGTAATGTAATATTGGGTGTAATCCGCGCGAGATCCGAATAGTCGGCTGACTTTATGTAAGAGACTGTGTAAATTGACTTGTCACTCGAAAGATTTTGAAAAGTAGAAGAGATTCACCGTAGAAGAGATTCTCCGTAGAAGAGATTCGCCGTAGAAGAGATTCGCCTTAGAAGAGACTCGCCGTAGAAGAGATTCGCCGTAGAAGAGACTCGCCGTTAAAAAAGCCAAAACACTCCATGTCGCAATACAGTGAACTCATTTTCAGCGTGCATGAGATTCACAGTCTCAGTTTTGCCGTGCAGGAAGCTCAGTTCTTTCACCACTCTTAAAATAGCTATGCCCACTTTTGCGATAGTTTGGGCATATTCATTTTCCGTGCCTTCAATTAACCTTCCTGGTTCTCCAAGATGAACTAGCCAATTTAAGTCCAGAAATGGCGTTCGAAATTTCTATCGAGCTTGATGCTTTTCCAAGCAAAAAAGCAAAAAAAAAGATGATTAGGGAGCATAATATGCCTGTGCTAGTGATTACAGAATTTGTTCATGCCTCAGCATTTGGCTTCACAAAAATGGCTCTGAAAGTTGCAGCGCAAAATGAAGAAGAAAATATGATGGAAGTTCAGCAGAATGAGTCAATGCCAGGAAATATACAGCTTGATCCTGAAGAGTGCGTGCAGTTGCAGCAGCAACATAGGCATAGTTTCGACGATAATATGGTTAGTGGCAATTGTTTTAATTATATTCATAGACATTCCTTGAACACCTTCTACCCTCATGGTTTGTTAATTTGTTCTCAGAAAAGAAGACTATCATATTTCAGGCAGACAGGACTGCCTTAAAATTGTTTCTGTGCACTTTCGAAAACCGTCTAAATGAGCGATCGGTCTTCAGAATAAACATAGTGATTGACGGGGTTTCCTTGCATGTAACACTTTCTTTATTTGTTAAAATGGCATCCCTCCACCTTTTTTTTTTTGTAAAAGAAAACATTTTGCATGAGAATTTGTCTCGTTAACAAATGATGTAGAGTAGAGCACTTTTTTAAGAACATCTTTGCAGATTATATTAGTGAGTTCCATCATTATGTGCTAAAATTTCAGATCTTACAATTTGGTATTGCTTCTTCCCTGTTATAAGAGATTTCTCCTTCATAATTGTTTTTGTTAGCCAAAATCCCATCTTTAATATGAAAGTTGACAGTAGTAGAATCGCGTGTGATTAGCATCAGTTTACTCGACCGTAAATGTGTTTTATATGAGTAAGATCGAAAAAATCACCTCCTGTATGAGACGATAAAAAATATCAATCCCATATGCTTCTGTGATCTGCTGCGCTGTGAATCCCACTCTACATTAGCTGCCGTTGAACTTGTCGAACTTTCCAGAATCTGGTAGCTGTCAGCGTAGCAAACGGCGCACCGCACCGGTCTTCTTCGAATGTGGAGGTGGAGCCTGCAGTTGATTTTGGCTCGAGTACTTTGCTGGACAGTGATATTCTGGATTCTTCGCTTATTTCTGGCACGCATATGGCGGATAGCAAATTTTATGGCACTGGTCACACGTTCTCTTTATCGCATTCTATGGAAGACGTTTCAACTCAAGGCGGAGTACCTGCTTTGCCACCGGAAAACCTACTCGGTACGGAGATGAGTCCTTCAAGGATACTCGTACCATCCGATTTATTTGGCTCCAGTATCCTACTCGACAATTCTTTCGGTGAACAATTCCCAACAGAAAGTATAATAACTACACCATCAAACAGCGCGCAGCATTACAGCAGTTCATTATATAACAGTACAATTTGTCCAGAATTGAGCGATTTCAAGGAAACCTCGGTTCCTGGAAATTACTCATCTCTCGTTGTAAGCAGTAATCCAGCGGTTACGTTACCCGACAGCCCCGGTTTCGTACGTAATAAAATACATAATGTGCTGGATTTGGAGACAAGAAATGCTACGTTAGCGTTGACAAGTGTGATGGAGTCATCATCTTCGACCTGCAGTCTTAATGATTGTATCACTCCATTTTTCTTAGAACCTCATGACACAGCTATAGCTGGTTCTGCTGATTACAATGTTTCGCTGTAATAAGAGGGTGAATAATGGTTTTATCACATCGTAAGTCAAGGGTCTGTAAAATCCAAGTAGTTCTTCTACAGTTCATTTATTACCCTTCCTGTGCTAGCTTTGATTCGTTTGGTAGCTTTATGGGAAGTTCATTGTTTTCTTTTTTGTGTTTACAGTGCGCTACTTGCTGTTTATGCAAATTTTGAAAAAATCGAGTATGCTTAGCTGCAATTGTACATCACAACATCGCTTTTTCTGATAAGATGTCGTTGTACTTTCGCGCAGTCGAAGTAGCAATCTTTCGCTGTTTTGGTAATCCTTGTTGTTAGCCTGTGGGTGATTTTGGTTTTCGCTTTCCTGCTTTTCTTCGCTTTTTTTTGGGAAGAGAAGTAATGCTTCTTACCGTGCAGTGCTAGAGCCCTGCAACAGGCGGCAAAGACACATATTGCGGCGATCTTTTCTGTGCTTGTGTGTGTTTGCCTGCCCGGGTTTTTTTACTCAGCAACGACCACGCAAGCTTTGATGCTAAAATCTTTCCAGTTTGCTCCCTGGCCATGTGCAACTTTAAGAACATAATATCAATTATCACGCACGTTTACGCCTCACGTGCGGACAAGTGCAAGTTTTGGCGAAAAAATTGCCAACTCGAGGACGAGAAAAGTTGAAAAACTGGGATTTTAAGGATACGTCGCTTACCCTTGTTTGACTGAAAGGTTTCAAATTCAGCTAAAACCATCCGGTTTTATGCACGGGCACATGAAAATTTTGACAGGAAAACCACTAGCTCGGGGACCAGAAATGTTGAGAAACTGTAGTTTTAAAAGGATGTTTCCTACTCGTGTTCGACTGAAAGGTCCTCAGTTAGCTCTTTAAAACCATCCGGGTTCCTCATGATTATGCAGATTTGCGATACTAACTATATTCGTTTCCGCTACAGCAAAAGCAATGCTTACAAGAAGTGTTTGATGCTCCTCGCAAAGTCTTTTTTTTTCGCATACCAGCAATTTTCTGTTTTTCAGTCCCTGAAGCCCACATCGATAACTGACACACCACATAGCGGCACAGTTCTTAAACTCTGAAGGCCCGTATACCACAGATTTTAGCTACTGGAAGTCCAAGCGATCTTACTACAGCACGAAATAGTGCAAAAACCGCTCGCAAGTGACTTCTTTTCTTGGCAGTTAGTGAAGATTCATAAGCTCACGGTGAGCACTCCCGTATGGTTCTTTTTAACGGCGATCGTTACGTGATTACATTAAGGAGTTAATCATGTAGAATTGTCCAGCGGTACCACATTTCAAGTGGAGAAGTACTTAAATCACTTTTGGAGGCAGTCACGTGGCTTTCATGTAACTGTGTGAAGGTGGTGTTGTTAATGTTGTATTTTCTCTGCCATAGGACTGAAATCCCACTTTCCGACTGCTTTTTATGCGTTTTTTGCGTCTATGCAATGCTGAAAACATGTTTGTTTGTCTGTTTGTTCGTCTGTACCGATTTTTCATCTTGAGACCTACAAAAGCCACAGGGCTGTAACTTCGGGAACCTAATCTACATGCGTGTACGGGCCTCTATCTCCAAAATGGGCGTTCTTTTTCGCGTGCCACACAAATATGGGTCCGCCAAAGTCGTCGTGTAATTTGCTAACTCGGGAACCTGAGGAGCTCGAGATTGAGATTTTAAGGGGATGTTTT